CTAGAGACAGCCCTCGACATAGCTACTCATCAGTCGTGATGAAGAACACTTAATAATATGTAAAAGCATTTATCAAGACGCACACTGGATCAGAAAGTTCAATTCAGTGGACTTCTGAAACGGCTTTAACTGTAAAACCTGATTTCAATTCTCTTGAAACTAGTGATCAATGTGCCATATTTTTTTTCCAGGGTAGGTTTCGTGCAAACTAAACGCTCTGAACACGGCCCTAGATATACCGACTGTTTAGGAAAGTACAGAATGATCCTCTTCACATTTTCATGCATTTTGCAATAACATATTGTCATTCTACTGGTAGAGTGCTCACGTCCTAGACAAAAAAATATAACAATCACCTTCAGATATAAACGATCACGTGGCATGTCCAGTGCGTAGACTTGGTTCGTTGACAATCTCCAGATCTCGGAGCCCGTCAAATTCACGTGACGAAGAGATTTGCAGAAGTCTGACCGGCCTTTTCAGATCATTCCGATTCTTATCACCCAAGATGACTGCTCTCATTGACTGATATAACACAAACAAATTCTCGTCTTTCCTGGTATCATCCAAGCCATTAAATGGACATGCTTTGAACTTTGGACAAGTTCTCAGCCATAACAACACGATAACGGTGATGTATCGTTTTGATATAGCAGCAAGCTGACTTGTGTTGAGACGACTATCTGTGTGCCTGCAGAGTATAAAAAAGCCACAATTCCTTATTCCTTCGTGCTGGCCTGGTGACCGGAACATGTAAACAAACGAAGACTTTTACTTCCAGGTTCTATACCTCCACAGAAAGTATCTTCCAGCAGCTTCGTTAAGAGAGACATTGAACTGCCAAAAGAAGTTGAGAGGTGAATCTACTTGCCAACTTAGGCAAGGCCGTGTCATGAAGAAGTGATGCTCATTCTTACCATGTTGTATGATCCACTCCGCTTGTTTCTCCTTCATTGAGGCCCTTTCCGAGCTATTTTAAACCTGAGGTTTCTGTGATGAACATGCTTCAATACGTGTCTACAGAGTCTGAACCTGAATGGATGCTTCTAATGCAGGAGGCCAGCCACTAGACAAGGACTATCTCGGTACTTTTCAAAGCCTTGTTTGCGCTTTCAAAGAAATTGCATTATTCGATGCTTCTGACGTTAAAGACCAGCGGCTTTGAAAATTATATTTTGTAATCATACCTTTCGGATTATAATCCGCTTTAGAGTAAAATCCACTTGATGAGATCAGAAGTCTCCTCTGACAGCTTCTGAACTGTTTCCGTTTGCCCTGTTCGATGTCCGCAGATTAAGTTCACTCCTGCATTGAAGACTTTTTCAAGCTTTAGTCGAAAAGCTACGATTTCTTGAAAGACAATTTTCAAACTGTCCACATTACAACTCATGGGGCTTTTGATTGTTTGGATTCGTTCCACTGGCACGACCGTTCATTTCGCCCCATGATTCTTCTTCCGATGGACTCGACGCTTTGTTATGTGAATTCTGAGGGACTCAGAGCTGAGTCTGAGACATCACAAACTCCGCTAATGTTTGTGGGGAGTCAGTTCGGGGTTTGCTGAATGAAAGAGAGCTTGCCTACAGTTTCTGTTCAGAGTCACGGTTCGTTGAATTGCTTTATATTGCCCCTCCATCTATCAGTGGGATCCACCAGAGATACTATGGCACCTGGTGAGCCCGCATGCATCAACTGCTATAAAACCGTCACTGATCGACCCAGAGCAGTTCAAATATACCACATGATACTATGAGTTTTAGACACCATCCACGGTTGCGTCCAAATCTTGTTAGGTTCTGTCACAACTCTGTTATTTTTGTTGTTTGCATCATTAGGCTATGCCTGAGAGTCAGTTGGTAGCCCCCACTGCCGAAATATCTTGGCTCAGCCACCGCCCAGGATCCTCCGAGTTTTGATAAAAGTACTGGCCTCAAATACGTACACGCACCAGTTGAACGTCGATGATCTAAAGCTAGACATGACAACACTTCGTGGTGTTTCAAGCAGCTCAACTCCTAAATGTACTGCACGAATGTCCTGGGCCAAAAGAATAAGGTGAGTTCGATTCTAGTTGAAGGAAAACATTCCAGCATACGAAGACTCAAAGAAACTGTATTGTGAAGGATTGTGGTTCTGGTAGATCCTGATGGACAGTCAAAGACCGTTGAGAAAACATCCAAAGAACGGGATCGAAAACACAAGAAGACAAGCTTGAGAGAGCTTAGATTTGTCTTTTTGGGTATGGCTCGGTGGGCTGAAGAGACCCCCTGCTGCGGGATGTCGTGTAGAGGACAGAGGAATACTGAACGCCAAGCAAGTAAGCTTCTGATGGCATGTCAGTAGAGTAGAAAGCAAGCAAACCTGCTAATCTCGCAAACGAACAACTTAAAAGATTCCCGTGTTACAGTGTCTACGATTCGATCGAGCATCCCCACTAGGTGCCATGAGCCAACTCCAGTCCGCAAGGAACGACAACCTCATACACAACAATGACACAGTGCAGGAAGAGGAGGATGGTTGGTGTAATTTTCCGTTATTCCGTGCATGTTCTGCCACTGTTGATATTTATGCCGAGATTCGATTCCCAGTAGGCCATGCCATGAAACAAACAGGTCCTATGGAAAATCCAGAACCGTCGTCGAAGCGTGCACAACCGAGGCATGTCGCGTAGCATCCGCAGCAGCTCGGGCTCGGCTCAGCTCAGCTCAGCCCCACTTCCCTCCCTCCGTCGGCTGCATACGGACGACGAGCAGCAGCAAACGACCTCCCAACGGCCTCTCTACTTCAGTTCTCTGGGCACGGCAGCGCACTCCACCACCTCCACCACCTGCCAAATAAACTGCTATGTCTGCGTAGCCTGCAGTTTAGCGAGCAACAACATGGCATAGCAGCTCGGAACGATTCGATCATAAAGGGTTTCTCTGTGGCCTGGCCTTGGAGCAGAGAAAGATTTTTCAGCGCTAACAACATAAGCCCTAACAGCTAGCTCCAAGCCGGGCCTGCGCTCTCTGAGCTCTCCTGTATGCTCGCTTTCCCACTCTATGCAACCAATGCGTTGTGCCTTGCCATAGATGCTTCATGCGAGATCGCATCTCCTCATCTGCATGAGCTGCACCATCACCAGCAGCAGTGGTGCTGGTGATGGTAGTAGTAGTAGATGTAGTAGTAGTCTGCATGCGAAACCGAAAGAAAGCGCTTTTTCGCTCAGGGGCTTGCAGTACTAACATCTCGGTGTACATGTCCTTGTTGTGTTCAGTATCAGTTGACTAATGCATGGAATGTCTGTACAAAAAATCTGATTTTGTCTCCAATGAAGCATTAAAAAACGACTGAAAAGAAACACCAACTTTTCGTGTGACCTGTGCTTGATCAGGCCGGCATGCGGCCAAAACAGAACACTAGGCTTGTGAGACGAGTTGGGCGAGTGAGCGAGTGATCGAGTAGTAGAGTCCATGCTCGACGCTCGATGCCTCCTCAGATACAGTTGACCGACTTTAGGCCAGAAGGCCCATCGTGCGTCTTAGGGATCGCAGATCCGATCCCCATTGGAGCTCAAGGTTCAAGCGGAGGAGGAATAAGTACACAAGAAATTGCATATGATACGTGTACAGCAAGAGAGAAGCTCTGATCTTCGAGACGAGGTTGTCGATCATATCGGACGAAACAGGGGAAACGGTACGTCATGCACAGATGTTGTCGATTCTCCTCACCTCACCCTCACCTTCACTCGTTCGTTCATTCGTTCTCTCGTCGCGTGCATTATGGAGTTGTAGGTGCTCTATTCTACTCTGTGAACCCCGTCCATGGCCCGACTTGCGCAGAAGCGTCCTTCCGACTGCTTTAGCTGGCTGTAGTCCCGGGTCCGTGGCTTGTGCTACTTTCTCACGACGAGTCGATATCAAATCAAGTCGCTTTTGTGGCGAGTCCTGCAAAATGGCGCCATTGTGGATCGATGGACTCCGAGAATCACTTTCAGGCTCACTGGATGGTATGGCAGTGCCGACTGGAAGCCGACATCCATCCCGGGCGCTGATCCCCATGACGGGGGACGAGGAGGAGGAGGAGGAGAGGGTTGAATTTGAAGGGATCCACTACTGCTACTAATACTACTACAACAGCTCCACCTACTCTCGTTGTTGATACGTGAAGCTGAAACGTTCTGATCATTGAAATTTAATGCCTGGCTCGCGAGGCAGCAACTGTAGACAACAGGGAGCGAGTGAGTGAGCGAATACGCTGACAGGGGAGCAAATTGAATTTCTGTTCAAATGTTCAATCGACATGCTCCTCGATGTACAGGAGAGAGTGATGGGAGACAAGGATGTCTGCATCCACCCACAACTCATTGCAGGTCCAGACACAACTTCTCCTCCACGTACGATGTACCATGTAATTTGCGTAAAGCCAGCAGGCAGACCTACTTTCTGGCCCTCCCATTTTCTGGCTCGAGCCCCGCCTTCTCCATCTCTCTCCCACTCGGATCCCCGCAACGCAACGCACCCCACCACACCGAACCGCAAGGCAACACACCACAGGAAAAGCATTTGTCCGGCTGCCTCTGCACTGCCCGTACCCGACGGCAGTCGACAGTCGTGAATGATCGTCTCTGGTGCTCGCATGCTCCTCCCGTCCAAGAATATAAGCGTGACGGGGTCCACCATCGGCACTTCTTCTATTCTTTGCATTACATTACGTGTGTTCGTGATATAAGCAAACGGATGTCGATGCGGACTGCTCACCCCTGCGTAGATTTTATGATCGAGACAACATGTACAGGGCCGGGCAGGGGAGGGCATGGCATTCCAATCGCAGCAAAGTGGACCTTCGAACAGATTACACTCTCGCTTGACTCGGATGAGAATCGGAGAAAATGTCGCTACTTTGTGCATTCAGATCAGCCAGCCGGGCAGACTAAACCGTGAGATTTCATGGACATAATAGCACACGAACTTGAAAAGCCAGAGTACGAGAAACTGGAAGGAAGGACCGGACGGGGGAGAGAGAGTCGAAGCCCAGAGTGAGCGAGGAGGAAGTTTATTACCAGTAGCTTTAATCACATGAAGATGTCAAATCAGGAGTATTCTTCTAAGGAATCGTCGGAGTCGAGAGCTGGTGTCGTTGCTAAGGAGTGTGTGTTTGTGTGTGTGGATTTTAGTATAATGTGAACTGTGGAGGACAGACCATTCAAGCTGGAGCCAATGTTGGAAAGAAACTCCACCGTAAAGAACTAAAGAAGGCTGCGTGCGTACGCACTATCATCGTAAGGTTATCGTTCGTCATCACACGTCAGGCCTGGCCGAGGATGGGTATGACATTGAATCTGGACCAGGCCCGATTGAGTTTGAATCTCTCGGGTATAAAAGCATGCTACTCTACTACAAACTCGTCTAGCTGTACGCATGTATTCGAATGTACTCAACCAAAGGGTCGCTGTCGGAAGTGAGGATCGATCGGTTGGTCGGTCTGCCTCGGGACCCGTCGTGACGAATGCTGAATATCGCCGCAATTCCAAGAGGTGCAATTCGCTGGCTGGCTGGCTGAGCGACCGTCCTTCCTTCGTCGAACAAGAGGAAGAAGAAGAAGATAAGACGAAAGCATTCGATTTGCAGATGTCTCTGTATCTATCTCTGTGTGTGTGTGTGCACAGTTCACTTACACGAAAACGGAAGACAGGATGACTCTCTATCTCCATCCCCGACATCATAGACCCGGTTCATTGACTCGACGGATTGTGCACGAAAAATCATCGATCGCTGGCTCGCTCCCTCGCTCGCTCGCTCCACCGGCGCCGGGCCAATGGCTCGGTGACGTCGGTCGGGGACGTTCTGTGACGATGCATGTCATTCATGCCTCGTTGCTCTTCTTCTATACAGCGGATCCGCCTCAATCGTGCAGATCCGCCCAAACTATCGTACAGGTCTCGCGAGAATCGCCGACAGAGCACATGGTTGTCGTAGTCGATGCCGAAGCCGCCAGCCGAGAGCGGGTGCTGGTGCGGGAGCGGGTGGCCATGGCTCAGAGTCTTTCACCGCTATTCGGGCCGTCCCGAGTCCACCGAATCGGAAGGAAGCAGCTCGCGAGCTCAAAATCTCTGTCTCTCTCTGTCTCTCCTCTCTGTCTCTCTCTCTCTGCCTAGCCATTTGTCGAAGACCGTCATCGTGTGGGCTGGCTATGGGCAGCGACTGTCTGTCTCTCTCCATGGTCGTGGACACTGATGCTCGGCTCGGTGGGTCGTACACGGCAGCTCACAATTCACTTCGCTTTCGCTTTCCCTTTCGCCTCACCTGTGCTCGCGGGCCAGGCAGAATAATAATGTAAGCGCAGGGGCGCAGTCGATTCGCTCGGTCGGTGGCATTTCAGTTCATTCCAGTGCATTGCAGTCATTTGATTGGATTCGTTCGGTCACTCATCGCGAAGCACGACGACGGGCTCTTCAGAGGTTGTCCGAGAAGAGCTCGCGCCACACGTCGGCGAACACCTTGACGATGACCGAGTGGTACTCGGCGGAATTGAGCGACAGATAACACCTGAGCAGCTCCTCGAGGTCGCCGGCGCCCTGAATCTCCTTCTCCACGATCATCTCGACCATGGAATCCCGGAAGTCCGTGTACGGGTCGTAGGACGATTTCACCACCGCCACGCTCTCCTTCACCTTGCCGTGCAGATCGTTGGGCAGCAGCGGCGGAGGCGCCTTGCTGCGCCGCCCCTTCCGCCTGCGGCTGTTGGCGCCGCGCTTCTTCTTCGACGGCTTGTCCGGATCCAGCGACGATTTGCTCGTCGGCAGCGCCTTGGCGTGCCGCCTGGAGCCGCGCGAGCTGTAGGACTTGCCCTGCGAACTGTCCGACACATCACTCTCTAGCCTAAGATTGCAAATCTGGTCCTCGATGTGCACGTCGATGTGCCGCGGCTCCTTGGTCCTCGACACCATCGGCAGCTCCCGGATGCCGGCGTCGTTGGGATCCCCTGCCCCGCCGCGAATTGCCCGCAGATCGATCTTCGACCACGCCTTGGCGTTCGCCTCCAAATCGCCCTCGAACACCGTCGGGGGCACGCTGGCCTTGAAGGCACCGCCCCCGCCCGTCGTCGCGGCGAACGATTTGTCGAAGCGCGGCTCCTTGGTCACCGATTCCAATTTGCAGTAGTCCCCGAACCGATCGCTCGAGCATTTGACCACGGACCCGGGCCCGGGCTGCGGCTGCGGCTGCAGCTGCTGCTGCTCGTCGTCCTCGTCGATGCCCAGCTCTTTGGGCCGCGGCGGAGTGGACAGGAAGATGATGCGGGATCCCCCTTTCTTGGCCCTGGATTTCTGGATTTCCACCACCTCCTCCTCCTCCTCCTCCACCACCGTCCTCGAGCTGTCGCGCGACCAGGTGCTCTTGGATCGCGCGAGCGCGAGCGAGGCCGAGCGCCGAGGCCGGCCGTCGGCCTCATCGCTCGAGTTCGAGGTCCACTTCTTCTTGCGGGGCAGGCCCGGGCCCGGGCCGGCGCCAGCGCCAGCACCTGCGCTGCCCTCGACCTCGAACGAAGTGGTGAAGAGCTCGTCGTCGCTCGAGGGCGACGAGAAGGAGCGCTCCCAGGGCCGGATGCGCTCCTCGTGCGAATTGGCCTCGACGTCCGTCGAGGTGGTGAGCAGATGGCTGCCGCCGCTGCAGTCCAGCTCCACGGCGCGCAGATGGTGATCGGGCCTCTGCGCGGGGCTGTCGTAGCGCGCGGCCTCGCGCACCTCCTCGAAGGGATCGCGCAGCGAGCATTTGCTGTCGGGCGCGCTGCCGCGCACGCACTGCGTGGGCGAGAATCCGGGCGAGGGCGCGAGCTTGCTCGACTTCTTGTGCCCGCGATTCTTCTTCTTCAGAATCACGCGCTTCTTCACCACCTCGTTCTCCACCTCGGCCAGCACGCTCCATTCGCTCTCGCGCTCCCACGAGCTCGGATCCGCCGACTTGCCCCGCGAGCCGCTGCGCCTCCTGCTGTGGCCGTGCCCATGCGCCGAGCCCCTCTCGCTGCGGCCCTGCCTCTCGGCCCTGTGCAGGCTCTTCTCCGAGTCTATCTGCTTGGAGCAGCTGCCGTAGCCGCACCTGGTCTTGAGCCAGCTCTTGCAGCCCACGCCCGTGGTCATGTGGGGAGCCGACAGGGCGCCCGACGTGCTCGCGTGCTCGAATCCGCGCGGGGACGAGGTCTTGCTCTTGCGCCTGGGCGGGGACGAGGCCGAGGGAGGGAAGCCGATGTCATACGTTCTGAAGGTCACGGGGCTTTTGATGTTCTGCAGCTGGATGGGCGGGAGGTACTTGGGCACCAGCGCTACCGTCAAATTCTCATCGTCGTTGTCCTCGGCCGGGGTCGCCCCGTCGTGGTCCGGCCCGTCCTCGTCCGCGCCGTGCAGAGTGCGCCCATTGCGGGAGTCTCGATGGTGTTGGTGTTGATGTTGATGCTGATGCTGATGATGGTGAGGCTGCTGTAGATGGGGGTGGGCTTGGGGATGGTGCTGGTGCTGGTGCAGGTGCTCCTCATTTTCCTCGGCGATATCTTGCAACGCATCCCCCAAACCTGGCTCCCGAAGCTCGCTATCATCTACGGGGTCTTCTCCAGCCACAGGATTGTCGTGCAGTAAATTCTGCCTCTTCTTCTTCTTGTGCAGAAATGGCAACGACAATTTGAAGCGTTGCGGCCTGTTGCCACTTGACATGGCAATGCTCACGCTGGTGCTGCTGGCCAGCATCATCGGTCCGACCTCCTCCTCCCCCTCCTCCTCCTCCTCCTGCCTCCGCTCTGGAATCTGCCTTTATGTCTGTCTCTCACTGTGCCGGTGATCTCACTCTTCCTCCTCCTCCTCCTGCCCTCCCCTCCCTGTTCGTCACTCTCTCTCCCTCTCCCTCTCCCTCTCCCTCACTTCCCCTCGGGCACTCTCGCTCTCTGAGCTTGGGCTTTGGGCTTCTTCCTGCCTGCCTGCTGCCTGTGTGCGTGCGTGAGCGTGCGTGCCGCACTCCCTGCGTCCCTGCCTGCCTCTTTCCCTTGGCCTCTGCCTCGCGGGGTCTCGACTCGCCCCACTCTGCCCAAGGGTGGGACAGACCGACGAAGAGAAGGGCTCGGTCCGGGGAGTCTCAAGCGAGAAGATCGACTAGTCGGCACATCCTACATAATCGCACATTCTACTCCTCGGCGCGAGGAATTGCAGCAGCGAATTAGGTCCCGGGTTGTTTCGGCCCCTCACGGACACCGTGGCATTCGGAATTGATTGATCTGATCAATCGAGGTCAACATTCTCCCTGCCTCTATTCTTCGTCGTCTCCGTCGTCGTCTCCTCCTTCGAGCGTTCGGCCCTAGGAAAATGTGAGATGCATACGTCTGGGCTCAGGGAGGGCAGGGGCAACACTGTTGGTCGATTGATTGCTGGCAGGCGAGCGAGTGGGCGGGCGGGCGGGCGAGCCGACGATCGTCCTACAAACTGCCGCTCTCACAAAAGAAAGGGGAAGAAACAAAAATGCGGAGAATAAAAAATTACAGAAACCCGGAACAGAAGAATTATGTACATAGAAAAGCGCTTGTCTAGCCAATGCTCGTCATATGCGGCCCCCAGACCTGCAGCTCCATGCCTCGATGGAGCGTCCAGCCTCTGCCCCCACCAAAGGAAACGACCCGCACTTGGCGTCCGGGTGCCCAACGCCCAATGCCCAAGGCCCAAGGCAAGGCTCGCCAAGGCTTGCGGTTGCGGCCTCGCACCGCACACGAAAACTGGACGGTTCACTCCGGACTCTCGCTCTCTGGGGAGACGGCTCGGACCTTGAGATCGAGCCTGAGAAAACGTGCAGCCTACAGTTCAGATCCAGTGAGTATCGTGCGCTGACGTGCCGTTTCACGAGGCGATAAAACTGCACGAGCGCTAACTAGCAGCGGCAGCTGAACTCTTGCGTTCTGCCACCATGCCATCATCCATCCATCCTCCGCAGCAGCAGCAGCAGCGGCGGCGATAGTAGCAGCAATTGCCTTAGTTTTTCGCTGCCTTCCTCGTCCTCCCCGCCGGCACCACCCGCACCACTGCCACTCCCACTCCCTCCGGCTCCCCCTCCCGATTCTCCTTTTTCCTTTTTCTCTCCCCTCCCTCTTTCCTCCTCTCCCCTTCTTCTCATCACCTCCCACCTTTCATCCGTCCCCCGAGAGCCCAGCCCCCTCCTGGTTTTTGCTCGACTTTTTTTCTCGCTCGCAGCCTTCAAAAATACCCCCCCTCTCACGCCCCAGAGCCCCTTCCTTCACTTCAGATCTCGACTCCCCTCCCACTCCTCCTCCTCCTCTCCTCTCCTCCTCTTCCTCCTCACTCCCTCCCCGTTTGTCTTCTCTCTCTTCTGTCTGCTCCTCCCACTGCCCAGCCCCGAGAGCCCCGAGTCCCCGGCCCCCCCGCTTCTCTCTCTGTCTGTATCTCACCACTCGGCAGCAGCACCCCTCGCTGCCCACTGCCCACTGCACTGTCGTCTTCGTTCCATCAGGAACCCCATCTCTCGGCTCTCGCCTCACCTCAGCTCAACCCAACTCGAGTAACATCCGGCTGCCGCTCGTCCGTGCTCTGATGTCTCTCGCTGCTCTCTCGCCTCATTCTTCTTGCCTCACGGCTGCTGCTGCTCCCCCCCTGCTCCTGGGGGTCGGGGGTCAGATCCGAGAGAGATTATAGGTGGGCGGTGCGAGGACGAGTCACTCCCCCGCTAACTACGGCCATAGATAGCACGAAGCCTCCAGCAGCAGCAGCAGCCTCCAAGGCTCCGCCCGAGCCGAGCCTCCATCCATCGCTTCTACTGGCTTGACACTGGCTTCATACTGTCAGTCCAAGGACCACGTGAGACGTATGTGGGCAGAGTTGTCGCCGGCAAATTAATGCAACCGCCGGTCGGAAGGGAGACAGTTTCTTAACGAGCAGCAGCAGCAGCAGCAGCATCAGCTGGGCATGAGCATGAGCATGAGGCCCCAGCAGCGGCAGCAGCACCAACAACAACAACAAAAACAAACCTCCGTTCAACGTTAATACATCCAAACATAGATCGGCCCTAGAAGACTTATTCTTCTCCTTCTTCTTCTGTTCTTCTTCCACGGCTCCCCACTCTCTTTCTGCTCGTTTCACTCTCTCTCTCTCTCTCCGCGTCTTGTTGACCCTGTCGCCTGCCAGTCCCGTCCCGTCCGGTCGACTGTCGATACTCGAGATTTCGGTCCATGAAGTTCAGTTTACTTCAGCTAAGCTGATCTGAGCTGAGCTGAGCTGAGCTAAGCTCGGATCAGCTCGGAGGGCATGGGCGATCGGTCGGAGTAACTCCAGCTCCGGATCCGGACAGATCTTGCATAGTTGCGGTTCGAGAGCGAGTTGGATGGTGGGGGAGGTGTTGGTGGGAGTCGAATATTCAAGCCACGCCAGGGGGCCAGTTGTAAATTATAATAGACAGACAGCCAGACAGCCAGCCAGACAGACATTGCCGGCGCTTTTCCACATGGCGAGTGATCGCCCCTCCTCTTCTTCTAGCGTGGTCCTTACTTAGCCTGAAGTGGACGTGGTAGCGTTTGGCGGCACGCCTTCAGGGCGTCCTTGCCCTCCCCTGCCCTCGCCCAGTCCCGGATGGCGCTTGTGCAGTGCTCAGTCCTTTCCCGTCAACGGAGAATCGCTGAGACGAGGGAGTCTCGAACGGACGGACGGACTGAAGACGAACGGGAAGTGGCAGTGGAGTTTACTTCTACTGCTTCTTCTTCTTCTTCGTCTCGTCGTCCTTCTGAATCTCGCTGTCGCTTCTTCGCCTTCTGCTTCTGTTCCTCGCAAAAGTTCTTGCGGTCAGTGCGCCCGCTGTGTCCTTTTGCTCGGGTAGGACAGGCTCCGTTTCTTCCTCAAACTAAACAAAATCCTATGTCACAGTGCACGATCCTCCTACCCTAAGCTACTGCTCGCCACAGTATGGCTTGTACTCTACCACGCATTACGAGAGCTCTCGCGGACTGTTGCGAGCTGATTCTGAGAGGTGTACGAGTATCTCGGAGCGCTGCAGGCAGCAGGACCCGTAAAGTTGGGCGAACCTGCCCCAATTCGGAGGTCAGCAGCAGTTTAGTTTAGTAGTGGCGATGAGACGGAGCAAGGATGCGGCTTCCGCAAGGCCCGGCCCTACTCGAATCGATGGATGTTAAGCGAGCAACGAGCGTAACCATGACAAATATCCCTGTCACCGTGATCTTAACTGCGACACTCCCGAATTTTTTGCAAAAGGCTTTTCTGTCGCCTTTCTGCGTCGATCCACGGTCCCTCCCCCTCCTCGTTCGGTGTTTCTTGTTTCGGGACCGATTATTTGTTTTGTAGCACTAGCATTCGATTGAGTTTCAGATTGAGACCGAGCCTTCGAGGCTTCGAACGGCAGCACCAGGCCAGTGTTTCGGCATTTGGGGAGGGGGAGGGGGAAGTGGAAGAGGGGGGTGGTGGGACGAGACTCGAGAATGCCACTCGAGCACTCGAGCGAGCACCTTAAAATGGACATAGCGCCAAAAGCTTGGGCAAAGAGTCCAGAGTCCAGAGTTCAGACCTCGTTTGATGCAAAAACCTGCAATCAGCTTTTGTCCGCTCGATTCTGTTCAGATTATTGAGTGCTATAATCTTTGGCATTACGTCTAGACCCCCATCATTCACTCTTAAGCTGGATCCGGCGATATTTGTCCAAGCTTCGATACGCGCTAGTGGGATCCAGTTTTAGGGCCGGGCGTGGCGAGACTCGGCGGGTCCCGCACCGAAAGTAGTAAGGTCCGGTATCCCAAATACAATCATTCTCGCCCTTGTCACTCTGCGCATACGCTCAGCAGCTACAGCTCCGTATCTTCTCCTCCTTCGTCGTTCTGCACATGAGATTAGATGAGATGAGAGGAGATGAGCTGAGATGGCGGGTCTACGATATAGTGATACGACGTCCACTACTACCACAACTACTACTACGACAGGAGTAGTGGTCGTCGTCGTCGTCCACTCGAGTGATGTCACAATGTGCATCATTCATTCTCAGTGCATCTCGCCTGCATTTTGAGGCTTTCGTTCCGTCTCCGGGCCCCTCGTCATCGTCCTCGGCCCCGGCAGCTGAACCCCATGGACTGATTGGCAGGGAGGCGACATGACATGAAATGAACCTGGAAAAGGTCTTCTGGGCTTCCGGTAGCGAGTAGGCGGTGGACATGCGATTTCAAAAACCTCAACACAAGCGCAGATAATCATTTGCGGTGCAGTTGAACTACAAATTCCTCAATTGTGTGCTTTAGTCAGTCTTATCGTGATAATCATATCTGCTCTTCTCCCATCCCTTGGACGATCTTGGCTCGCAGATTTTCCGTCATCCCCTCGAGGAGCGACGCTCCGTAGCAATCCCCTTCTGTGTGTCTGTCGCCGTCTGTCTGTCTGTCTGTCTGCATGTCTGTCTGTACGTAGCCTGGCTAGCCAGCCCCATGTACATCCATTGTCAACCTTCCTGCCCAGCCTTTCGAACTTCAGCCTCGGTCTGACCTCGACAAATGAACCATTCAGAGCATTCACGGCCGAGAAAGAACATCTTTCCGTGCCGAGGAGAAGAGGCAGCCTCAGAAGGACCTCAACAACAGTGCCCAGAAAACGGCTCCTTCTCATAATCAGAGCGGGTCGTGCTTAAATGTCGCTCATTTATGCTCGGAAGCAATTCGAAGGCAACGCAGAACAAGTTCAGATTTGTGTTGGACCTCCTCGGCCCCCTCCTGGCCCCCGGGACTCGGGTGGACCTTCCTCGCCCGGACACATGTCTCCGACTGAAAATCCTCATTATTGTTGAAAGTAGCACTTCGAGCAGCTCCTCGATCAAAGCGACCCCAGGACGCCTAGCGAGCCTTAATCATACATGCCGCTGCGGTCTCGTCTTCATAATGAGAGGTGCGGGGGGGCGCTTTAGTTCCACCGAAACCTTATCAGCAAACTTATCCCGGTGCACACAACAGCATGCAACTATTTCAACAGTGATTTCTCGCTCCTGACACCATGCCCCTTTAGCCCCCGCCCCCCACTAGTGCTGGATGACGGCGAGTACGCTTGGACATGCCGGTCACTACTACAAGGATAACGAGCGGTTGTCATCCCCATGCCGATCCCCGATTATGTGCATTTCCGATTCGCTTTCTTATTCGACGCCATATGCCAAATTCAACTGAGATTCCCGAGCCATATTCATTGCACTCGGCTCTGAAGGACCGGCATCCATGGCATCCATCAGCCATGATGCGAAGTCCACTCGCTCCCTCCGTCGAGGGTCCGTATGGGGGGGTGTGGGCGTAGACGAGAGGGAGACGGGGGGTGGGGGGTGGGCGACGGTGTTGTTGATAGGCTGGTTGACTCACAATCCCGTAAAGGGGCAACAGGGTTAACAGATGTTCGGGCTGGCACAAAGCTGGCGCAGAAATTGAGGGCGAAGCATGAAGCATGCAAAATGCATCAGGCTGAGCATGGGATTTCGCTCTAAGTCAGATGCATTCGCGCCATCTCCACCACCCGACAGCCCGACATCTCATCATCAGGAGTAGCCGCTGCCTCCGTTGTAGGGTGTTCACATCTCCGGTACGTTACCTCGCCTCACCTCACCTCCCCTCCGTCTCCCCTTCGCTTCTACGACTCGAGCCCCAGACCAGACCGGAGAAGTCCAGTCAGCCCCTACAGATTCTTCATTCTACCCCTTTCGGATTTTGTCCACCTTCTTACTCTATTTGCTAACTCCATTTCCGATGCAAGAGTGATTCATCCGTTCAAGACTCTCCCTCTCTCTCTCTCTCTCGCAGCTACCAGTTGGGACGTAGCCTTGCAGGTTTCTGGATCGGGTCGGTTGGACACACTCGACACACTCGCTCGCATATAACTCTACGGGTACGGTAGGGACGGAGGGAGCGAGCGAGCGAACAGTTGTATATTCGTACACTCGTAGGAAGACCATATGTTACAGGGCTACGAGTCGTTCATTAAATGTGGGTAGATTGAGGACGATGGTTGTCATGACTCATCAAGCACTATAGAGAACACAGAACAGCACAAGAGAACAGAGCTCCGTAGCCTCTTGGGGAGGGGGTTTAGGTGACACAGTGGCGGCAGGGGAGGATAGCGTGGCTCCCGCAAGGCTCTTCTTCAGGCTCATGGTGAAGCAGGAGTGGCAAGTCTGGGGACATTCAGTTCAGCTTCACTCGCTGCCTGACCAACTCTACTCCCGCTCCGCTCCGCCACACTGCACTCCTCTCCACTGGAGGTTCCGGCTACCGAGCGCGAGAGATGGAGCTCAGATTTGAGCCCACTTTCGCAGAAGGTTTCGCGAGTGTTAATCCCTTGGGGACAGTTTACAGTACGAGGGGCTCCATGGATACATCCATCTGGAGAGCCCTTCCTTCATCCATCCGATCGCGTGCTAGTCAGTCAAAGCTCGGCACAGAGACTCACACTCACAGTCTCTCGCACAGAGAGCACAGAGAGAACATTATAGAGAAGTTGTGTACTGTACTGCGTGGGTTCAAACGTAAGGGAGTCGTGTAAAGGGCGGGAGTCTGGAGACGGGAGCGAGGAGATGGATGGTCGTACGGAACATGAAACGAGTCTGGCTGTGGATGTGGTGTTCTGTACCGAAGCAGAGGGACTGGAGGGGAGAGTGCATCCTCCTCTCCTGCGTGCTGGCACAACTTTCGCTAACCTTGAGGATAAATTACCAGACTACAGCCCGCAGGCATCAGCAGCAGCAGCCAGAAAGCCAGCCAGCCAGCCAGCTCCACCGCTCTCGTAGGCCGAGCACCGGGCTGCTGGAGCCTGGAGTCTGGAGTCTGCGGGAGAAAGCAGATAGCCTGAATATTATCTTCGACTGCAGAGACGGGAAAGCATTTCAAATTGTGACCAGCGTGGGTGAATCCCCTGCTATGGCGAGCTCCCGGTGATTTGGAATGAACAGAGCAGCCCAGCCCAGCCTGCGGGGGCAGCAGCTCCCAGGGATTAAGATATCAACGGTAATAGGTACTTGCCCAGGCACATGTCCAGACTCCAGAGGACTTGCAGAAGGGCAGTCAGGTCAAAAAAGAGCTGCTAAGGTCACTCTTCCTTTCATTTCCTTCCAATTTCCTTTCCTTCCTTCCCTCGGGAAGACGAAGTTTGGGCCGGAGGAAATTTACTCCAATCATTCTCGTGGTCTTCCCGCCCGCCCTCCCATGTCGAGCCTGCGAGAAACATTAATTGCGTCATTCTGCGAGATGTCATTGATGTCATCGTTCTGAGCCTGAGCCGGAACGCGGAGCGCCCCAGGTGTCATCGCATTGTTCATCCCCTTCCTCCTCCTCATTCAATCTTTTCCTACCGAGGCCAAACTTTTCACTTTTGCTCTCCCCCCAAGTTTCCAACCATCGCTCGCTCGCTGGCAAGGTTTAGAGGTCCAGCTTCCGAGAGAGAGAGAGAGAGAGCCTCAGAGAGGGCAGCAGCAGCAGCAGCATGGCGTGCACAGTTGTCGGTGTTGAAGGGGCAGGTCTAACCGCTAAGACATAGGGAGCACGGTAACTGTGACTGCTACCGGCCCGGCCATCGGCTTTCGGCCATGGGCCAGCCGCTTCCGCCATTCCGTCGAGGCCGACCGATCCGATCCTGGAGTCCCTATATTTCCGCTGGGGCAATTGTCAAATCTGCCGATGGAGTCTGGTCCTACCCTCCAGCCCCCGTTCGCTGTCTTTTGTTCTGCTTCTCAGATCTACCAGTTGACAAGATTGGAGAATGAACTCTCAGCGTCATCTACTTTCGTCCGGGACTGCCATTCCGAGCTCGTTCCAGAGTCAAGTCAAGCCAAGCCGAGCCATTCAAGGTTCGTACTCAGGTGCAGACGCAGACGCAGCAGCAGCAAGGACAAGGAAAATGCTGTGATGTGGTCCCATATATACACATCAGCCGCAGAGATGGAAATTCGCAGCTCGGTCAGAGTTTCCCAAGGGACTCTGTGGATGGATTTTAAACTCAGAACGACGCCCGACTGAGGACGAATAACACCACGATCGTCCTGATGCACCGGCCTAATAAGTGAACGTTCATGAGCATTGACAGCCCATTGGTCCTTGCGACAAAGATATGCACAGCTAGTGATGGCCCATGATAACTCGAGAAGAATTGTAATTTGAAAGTTTCAATTTGGAAGAGGTTTCGAGTGCCGGCAGAAGCTGTTGCATCAGCATATGCATCAGTCGTCGCATCAGCATATGCATCAGTCGAGCTGACCCCGGCAGAGCAGAGCGATCTGAGAGCTTAGTGAGCAAGATGGGCATGTATGATGGCAGGCCATGACAGAGCAGGCTGCTGCTGCTGCTGCTGCTGGATTGACGTTATACAGTGGAGCCTGTTGAGAGAGAAACCAAGTAGGAGAGAGAGAGGGGGCAGAGAGAGAGGGAGAGGTAGAGAGAGATTGAAAGAAAACGGAGGGAGGGAGGGACGGAGGGAGAGAATCGGAGTGTGGTGGGGCTCAGTCTACCGAAAATCGTGATCAGAACATTGGATGGATTTTGTTGGTTTTTTGCACGAAGAGAATAGTGGCCAACCTGCCGCTGCGGAGCTCAGAATCGACGAAGCGAAGAACGACAAAGGAGAGAGCCGAGGCAGTGGAATTGGGTCCTGAGTTCAATCTGCCAGGCTTGCAGTGGAGCTCTGATTGGAAAGGGGCTCTTGGAGTGTTGCACACAGGAGTGAAAGCAGGACACTCCTCTAAATGAATACATGAGTCAGAGCAGAACGGCCTTTCCCAGTTCTAATTTTATAGTTCTTTCCAACTCCGCTCCAGCCTCCAGAAACTACTTGTAGACAAGAATGCTAGACGGACTATTCACCACAGTTCGACATTGAACGAGCGAGGAGCCACTCGCTCTCTGAAAGTACTCCAGCGCACTCCAAGGCACACCAAGTACACGATCCTCTCTAGGCCTCCTTGTAATCTGTGCCGCGTCCCTGCGTCCCTTTGTTTCCTTACCTATCTTATCTATCCAATCACCTTCGCCTTTACATGGACACAAACCAAAAGAAATTCTAAAATAAAGGCGCCACAAGGTGAGTCAATGATCACAACTATGACCAAAAAGATGCAAGTAGCTGCGCCCGCACCTCTGCAGCTCTCGGGCAACAATTTGGCTCGTCTTGAGGAGCTCCCCGTGTTCTCTCCGTTTCTTTTGTAATCTCACTCCTTAACCCTCTCTCTATTACTATTTTTTTTTTAATCCAGCACTTCTCATCATCACGACGCCCGTTACACTGCATCGGCTTGACCTTTTCCAATTATATTATTCTATGAGCTTTAGCCTTGGAACAACAAAAGAGAGAGAGAGAGAGAGAGAGAGAGAGAGAAGTTCCAAGTACAGTATATCGAGAAAATGCATCCCATCATGAATCTTCTTTTCCTCATTCAAATAAAAATGCAGGGTTTAGCCATAATCTATGAATATGGTTTATAAACTATAATATAATGTTCCAGTCACTATGAATAATTTGCCTTCAAATAGAGGTTTTCACAGAAGACAAGCTCTCGTTTTGAAACCACCAAGGAAAGAGACAATGCTCAAAACAAGTTCATATTTTATTTGGGTAGAGAAGTTAAAACTCTTCCACTTCCACTGCAACTGGCTTGACTACATCTCCCCACCGCGGCTGTTTTTCCATGTTGAGAGTTCTAGTTCATCACAAGCTAATTGATTCAACTCGCAAGCAAGTGCGATGCTCTTTCAGCAATGTTTGAGATGTGAAGAAGGTTGTTGTGTCCTTCCTTGTAATTTACTGCAGATAAGACTGCAGCAACCACCAACTGACATCTGTGCAATTCATCAACTCTCAGCTACTTCTTTCCCTCCTCGTTTTCCAGCCACAGTAACTAGAATCTCGGTTATTACTTGGTCCCCGTCTAAAAATAACAAAGGTATCTGAATCCTTCTTCTCGCATATTTGCTTCTGGCGACTTTTGGGAATTTTTGGGAACAAACAAATTTTTGCAACTTCTGGATGTTGTTTCTGTAACTTTTCTCCAGCTCATAGAGTTTCCGCATAGATTCGAGGCGAGGGAGACCCTCAAGTGCTGCACATCTCCATTTTTCGAGTGAACTATTCATCGTACTGTTCTTTTTAAGCTAGTTGCATCTGCGCTGAATCCTCCCTCTGGCTTCAGCATCGGCTCGCCGAGTATTAGAATCGAGGTTATAACAGGAAGGTTCAGCCTAAACACTCCCATGACTCGTGCCTTTATCCACAGTAAGATCAGAGCTTGAAGATCCATCTGCCATAGCAGCAGTCACGAGATCAATAGTGGTTGCAACAATACTCAACCACAAGCCAAACCTGTCACAAATAGACTTTCGACACAAGAGCCAACTTTTGATCCTGAAGGGCGGCTGCATCGTTTAAACCATGCCACCTTGGGCCATTCCACTTTGGCACAAACCAGCATGCTTCCAAACATCGAAAACTGTCCCGTCTGCAGCTGCAGCAGATATCCATCCAGCAGTGGCATATGTTTCAAAGTTCGGGCATGTTCATGCATAGTGCCAAGAAAACTGACATATGACATGATCAGTTGAGCAAGGACAACAACATTAATAAAAGACTTCAGTGACGAAGATGGATGATGTGGGTCAGAGAAAAACATTTTGAGGCATATATATACTTTAACAATTTGACAAATTTATCAACGTTTTATGAAGTATAGGTGGCGAATAGACCGCACTGTTTACAATATTAGCTTCCTAAGGGTTGTGCATGACTTTTCTCTTAATAATTGTAATGATTTATTCAATGTCGGCATTTCAACCTCCGTCAGCCGTGTGAATTTTCCTCGAGATAAAATGTGCTTCATGAAATGTATAACTTCTCAAGCAAAATTTTGCCTGTCAAATATAGGTACACGTAGTAAGAGGCACTTTACGCAAAGTACATGGTTTCTTCACTTTCTTGCATGAAAATGATAGTGGTCAACAAAATGGGAATTCTTCTATTCTGTAAAAAATAACGATTTATTGAATAATCATGTGGCCAACGATCAGAAAAGAAAGATAGCAAAGCCTTTCATAAATGACAGCAAAGGTTGAAGTGAATTAAGCGGATGCAAATGAAGAGTAGTTGATGAGAATTAACATCATTTATCCGATAAATTACATGTTGCTCAAGCGAATGGGATCTTGAAGGCAAAAAATGATGACGTGTCTTTTGCATTGCATGATGCATATCATTATTTGCATGTCATTCAGAAAATGTAAATGACATGCAAATTTTCACCTCCAATTGCCGATCCGCGATTACTGGCGAATCTCATTTCATGTTCTCGAGTTGCATAGAACAATCCGCGAATATTAAGGAACAAGGTGCATGCAGAGAATGATGTCTTTCCACATATTACTTCACAATTCTTTGAAAAAGATGTTTACAACTGATATTCAAAAAAATACATAGAAGAAAATAAATTTAAGTACTTCTGTTTTAAGTTAATTATTACTATGATAAGAAATCTAGTATCGAGTGAGTAATTTCTGTTTCTTAATGTAAACCCAATACGATGAGACTTCTTTTAATTCTTGACTAGAAACTCAATGAAGTATATATATTCATATGACTAAGTTTTAAACTGAACGATGACTACAGTTTTTAACACACAGTCTCAAGTAAACCAACGACTATACTTGGATGAAAGTTTATTTACTTCATATATTCTCTCAAACTTTTCTACGATGGGAAGATCAATAACTGACCCCAATATCATCGTGATGCTATTGGGGTCAGTTACTGATCTTCCCATCGTCTTGTACATTATAAACCTTAGATCCATTTGCATGTTAACTAAGAAAAGGAACTGACATCGCTGTAAGAAGTGTGCAATTTGAACGCAAATAAATATTTGGTAAAATATTTATTACCAAAGCGCACTTTCTCACGAAAGCTTCAAAGCATGCGGAGAGTTACAGCCTGTGAGAGTCACGGGCAACCAAGACAGCGGAATTTCCTAGCGAATATTCTGCAAACCAAAGAGCATCCGAATAGCGCTTTGCCGCTCAGAGTGCCCAGGAGTCGAGGACTCACGCTCGGCATAGAAATCATTCATTCAGCACCGAACTCAATTCATGCCCCGCCAGGAGACCTCAAGAAGCCGAGCTCACACGGAGCTAATTACGCACCAGCCATGGTACCGAGAGAGGCAATTTTGTCAGGAACTGAAAAGAAAATGTGCTTCTCTTACAAGGGGCAGAACAAAATGAAGACGGGGCCTGACTCGGCCATAAAGACACGAGCGTCGAATCAGGGGCCATGT